TCCTCATTTGCATCACTTCTCACAAAAATAGCTTACCGAAGTAGTCTTCAGAATTCCGGCAGCATCACTGCCTAAACCAAGAACCTTACAGGCAGAAATTATTCCTACCGCTTGGCATTAACGGCCCATTAAAAAAAAAAAAAACAAAAAACACTCAAGATTTATAAGGCTCACATTAACAAGAAGTGCCAAAACGTTTCCCTTGTTACGTGTCATCTGTATTCCTGAAAGTTGCAGATTCTACACACCGCAAGTCATTGCTAAATGTGCCAAATTTGTTGCCAATTGTGTTCAGTTTATCTGCTGGCTGCCACGTCAACCTCTGCCTGATTACAGTTTCATCTGTTTCAGAGCATTTCCTAGCAGTGGGTTTTGCATGCTGTGTCCTGCAGGTTAGCCCACATGCAAAAATACCAGTATTTCACCTAACACTGGCTTGACTTTTATTTTTTTCCCTTGGTGATGTGCAAGGTAACACTATGAACTAAAATCAAGTACAGGAGCAATATTTTACCTTCATGTAGCTTGTCCTGCCCCGTTCTAACCCTCGAGGTAACCCCAAGGGGCATCAAAGCAAAATATATCCATCCACACATCATCCTGACAAGGCTGTTCACATTAAGACACAACACCAAGTGGTGTGCTCTGAAGTGAAGATAGATGCCCCTCTTTGCCATACAGTGAAGACAGCCCCTCAAAGGCAAAGCAACGCAGAACGCAGCACGGACGCCCGTAGCGCTGAGGTAGCACGGGCCATGCAGAAGCATAGCAAGTGAGCAACCCAAGCACAGGAACGAGAGCAAGTCTCAAGTGAGACCACTCATTTCAGTCAGTTTTACCGTTATGTGAGCCGTCTTGGAAGCTGTTTCTCCCATGTATCTTCACCAAGTTCAGAGAACTACTTCTATTCTAAATAGCCTTTTCCAGCCTTCATTCTTATGAAGTTGCAGAGTCCAATAAGCAGCAACAGCAATCCAATGCCTGCCAAAAGCTGCTCAACTCTTTCCCTTGCCCAGTTGTTTGCTCTTGTCCCTACAGCTTTGCACCAGCCCAAACACATGTGCTGTCAAGCACTAAAACAAATGAAGGATCCAGCCTAGCTGAAAACTAATCCAAGAGTTCATTTTCAGCAGGATCACATCTATAACGCAGTTTGCTCTGTGATACCACAAAAAACTACACTAGCAGAAAGACAGACTATTGCAGAGAAGGAATAAGTAACCAAGATGGAAAACCAGCTGGACTGCTTTGCTGCTGCTAGCAACCATGCTAACCTTACTTTGTTTCCATTCTCAGTTTTAGGACTGAGCATCCTACCAGGGAAAGCAAGGAAGGCTGGGCTAGGTTGCTTCTGTTGACAACAGCAGTTTACGATTATGCCTGAACATTTTTGTCAAGCTAGAGACTTAATCATGCTATATTCGTCCCCACAATAAATAAAATAAAATAAAATAAAATAAAATAAAATAAAATAAAATCTAGGATAAAATCCATGTTCTATCCACATCCATTTTAATTTCTACCTCACCTTTCATGTACAAGGTTCCCCTTCTCGACCTATTGTAATTATAAGGCTATAGAATTTATTGGGATTTACTGTACACATTACATGGCAAGAAGGTCTAGTCCCGCTTGAATGGCTCCAATTTTCACTTTAACAAAGCCACTTCTCAGATTCTGTGAATCACAGGAATAATCACCCTTCTTCATCTTCCAATGAGGGTCTCTGCTTTTGTATTGTTTTTTTTCTTTTTCCTTTTTTTTTTTTTTTTTTTGGAGGTGGGGCTTTATTTAGATCAAATCATTTAGCGATTCACTTAGATCAAAACACATTCTCAGTAGGTTTACTCCTTCCTTGACACATGATTTGAGCTTTTGAAATCTGATGGCTTTATTAACTATGCCACTATGTCAGACTCCGCCTTTTGGCCATGCCCACATTCCAGTCACAACTGCTTTTCACAGGGTCTTGTTCTCCCGCTATTAACCTAAGGGAAATTAAATGCTAGCACATGCAAAATCCTGCACCACAGACAGAAAAACTCCATGCAACAGGACAAGCTGGGGACCAAGTGGCCAGAAAGCAGCTGTACAGAAAGCACCAGAGTGTCCTGGTAGATAAGAAGCTGAATGCTAAGCTGAGCAGCACGCCCTTGCTAAAATCGTGGTCCCTGCACATTGAGCTGTGTGAACAGCACTGCAGCCAGCAGCTGTAGGGCAGTGATTTGTCAGTGTCAGACATCTCTGAAAGGGCATCACTCCGGTGCTACATTGAGCGCTGGGCTCCTCTGAGCAAGACAGATGCTGGAATAGGGGAGCAGAGAACGTGATGAATCAGGACAGTGGCACTAAAAATAACTGAAGATGCCAGGTCTTAAGAAGTGAGTGACTAAAGAGGAACTGGAGGTTTGCTGTCTTCAACTACTTAGTGGCACTGGACGCAGAAAATGGAGACAGAGATATCCCACGGGACGATAAGCGGCAACTAACACAAGTTGCAATGCAGAAACTCTCCATCAGGGAAATAAAAACAAAAAGCTACCCTGAGGATCGTCAAACATTAGAACTGAGGCCCAAAGGAGGCTCTGCAGGTGTCTCCGTCCTCACAAATACTCCAGCAGCTTCGGGTAAAGCCCTGAGCTGGGTCTGCTTCAAGGAGGTGCGTGCATTGCTTAGGTTTGGGGCGGGTTTTTTGTTTGGTTTTGGGTGGTGGTGTTTGCGTTTCGTTTATTTTATTATTTTTTTTTTTTTGGGGGGGGGGGGGGTGTTCCCGTGCAGTTACACCAGGTAAGCGCTGCCTCAGCAGCCCGCACCCGCTCTGTGTGCCTGCCGCCCCCCTCCCCGCGGGACGAGCTCCCTCCTTTCGCTTTGAGTTTCGCGTTTCACTGCGGACGGGCTCAAACCGTGCGACCCCGGAGCTACCCCCACCGCCGAGCCCCTAGAGCCGCCCCCAGAGCCCCCCCGGGCCGCGCAGCCCGCTCCGCGCCCGCCTCCCCTCAGCGCTGCCCGCCCGGGCCGCGCCCGCCGCGGCTCCGCTTACCCGAATTTACCGCCAGCGGCGCCGCCATCTTAGCGAGAGGGAGGGGCAGCGGCGCCGCCGCCTGCAGAAGGCCCCGCAGCGCCGCGGGCTGCCCGCCGCCGCGCCTCCTCAGCACTGCTCCGAGCCCCCGGCTCGGTACCCGGCCCGGCCCGCTCGGGGCGAGACCCGCGGCTGTTCCCCTGCCCCGCTGCGGTGCCGCCCGGCGAGGCGGGGAGGGGACGAGCGGCAGCTCCCGGGCGGGCTGCGGGGCCTGAGCCGCGGCCTGACGGGAGCTGTAGGCGCGGATGGGCCGGGACAGGGCGGCACCGGGAGCCTCACGGGGCGCCGGGCTCCCGCCGGCACCACATAACTTAAATAAACGGCGCTTTTACTTCGCTCACACTCGTGCACAGCCCTTCTTGTCGTGTAACGGGCGATCTTTCAGCCCTACTTCGTAAGCCACGCTCAGTAAATAAAGAAAACCACCTGAAGTTAGGTGTAAACTTACTGGAGTGTTTTATTTTCTCTCAAAAAAAAAAGTGACTTGCGACAGATCATTATTTAAAATACATGTGATTAAAACAGTAATATCCACTTAAAAACAGTAAACACAGCTTTTTTGATCAATTTTGTGAGCGTGGAGCTTTTTAAGGGGATATGTTTCTTGGTCTTCAATGGTAAACTAATGTTTACAGTTTGTAAGGAGGGAAGAAACAGCCCTGATAGAGGTTATTATGAAGAAAGCTGCCTTTTAAATGCAAAATGCAAGAGGAAAAAGTACCAGGAATGAAGAAAAGAAAGGGAAAGAGACATCTGTACACATGTCTGGAGCTAAAGAATACATATCAGTACCTTAGAAGTGTCCCGTATCTGAAGCCAGTGTACTACCCTCTGTCCCCGTGGTAATGGTCTCATACAGGAATTCCCTACAGTCTTACCTTTAAAGTAAAAGGTCCCTCCAGAGATACGTATTCAATAGTTTCTCCTCTTGAGCTTTATTAAAACAATATTTCACCTGTTCTGAAACAGTGTCCAGCAAAGTAGGCCCATGGCAAACTAGCAGAATAAATATCTTTTTTCTCTAGATCTTCAATATAGTTGGATGGCAGAGGGGGCAATAGAGAGAGAGCAGTGGTCCTGGGGTGAGAGTGACTTGGCAAGATGGCTATGGGAAAAAGACACCCAAAATGGAGAAGGTTTCTGGAGAAAGAAAATAAATTTTAAAAGGGGCTGGGGGAGTGTCCCACCCAGAACAGCTTCTCACAGTGTTCAAAGGATTAATCTGTTCCCCTTAACTTATCCTAATTTGTTCATTTAGTCAGAGGGCTTATATTTCTTTGAGATATACTTTTTTGTGGTCTTAGCCATGAGCTTGAACAGATCTATCTATAATAAAAATAAGATGATAGATAATGAATAACTTAGTTCGTTGTGGGAAGAAAACACTGTCAGGTAAGAGGCAAAAGCGGAAAATAAGCAAAACTGTTCCACAAGCAGAACTAATACAGCCTGGGCACAGCATCTCCTACCTTCTCCTGCACACCTGTAGCTGTAAAACCACATCTCTGCTCCTACACTGCCCACATACCACCCAAAGACATACGATTGATGGGTTAAGAGAGGGAATAAAGCAGGTTCAGAGACACCTGTGCTGATCAGCTGGCCACAGCAAACTTAAAGGATAGCTTGAGGTTTTACTTCAGTCTTTACAACCACAGTGGTTTGTCCTCATTTTGATTTTTCTTTTCATTTTCCCTGACTTTCACAAAACTTCTGAGGACATAAACTTTTGAGTCCTTTTACCCCTTGATCATATTAGGCTGGACTTGGCTCGGGAATTGCAACAGGTTCAAAAGCTACTCAAAATATTTGGCAGCCAGAGTGTGATTTCCTAAGCCTCATTTCCTTAAGAAACAAGGCCAAAGAAAAAAAAAAAAAAGATAAATAAACGAATCAAATTTTTAAAAAAGCCTTTCCCAGACATTAAGAGCTGTCATATTGCTTTTGGCATTCAGATGCAGCCAGATTGCACACATTTATTTATTTTTTTTTATCTCAGAGGAAAAAAATCCTGTCTAACCACTGCAGATTGAAGATGTTAAGTTTCCAGATAATTCTTTTGGGTCCTTTGCCAATGGGCCACCAGTCACATAGCAATGTGAAGAAAAAAACTCCATGAAAAGAGCAGATGGTATGGGGTAGGTCACTGAGCAGTTGAACTTCAGAAGAAAAATGCCACACTTAGCTTCAGCTGCATAGCATTTATTTTACTCTTTCTCTGTTAGCAATGTGATTTTTTTTAATGCAAAACAGTTGTGACAGTAGAACTCCTAGTATGGATGAAGGAAGAGTTGTAGCTAGATACACCATACCATACATTCTAAACGTATTTATGTCGGCATAGCTGCATTCATCTGTGCTTTGATGAGCAGGCAAGTCCATGGCTAGTAATTCTTTGCTTATTCTTGCTTTATTGGCTGTCCTTTAATTGAGGATCTTACTGTTTACCCGGGGTTGCTGGCTGGTTTGTTAAGCTATTTTTGCCAAGTCACTATAGGAAAAGAATACCTCATTCCTCTTCCTAACAATAGCTCTTAGGAAGTTCTCCTCCAAGACAGCTGGGTTCAGTGAGGGACACATGCTTCTTTCATCCTTAATTAGAGGATGGAAATCTGGGAAGTATCAAAGGTAGGCTGGCACTGAATGCCTGAGATGGATATTAATTCCTCTGGATTCCAGGGAAAGGAGGTCCCCAGATTGCCTGCGGGATAGTGAATTCTGCTTATGCCACGTGAAAGCTTGTATAAAGCATGCTATTTTTTGTAGGTAGCAATAACTGCTAGTAAGAACTAAAATTAGCTGCACTATGGATGCCTGGTCTTTGGCTGGAAATTCTAGATGCTTTGTGCTGTAATACAGAGGTAGTATTATTATTTTTAATAATAATATTAAATCTAGTCATTGCTTTTCATAGTCAAATCACATACCAGGATACAAAGATAACAATAATGATAATACAATTTATTTAGTTTGCATTTTATTATGATTAGGAAGAACAATTGCTAGTAATAAAAGTTTTTTCTAATGCCCAGGAGGCCATCCATAATCTCATACCTTTAATCTTGAGTGCAATCATGGGGATCACAACCTGGGTGATTAACTGAAATGAAAATCCAAAGTATTTTCTGCCTGGTAGCTGAAGAAGATGCCCTGTAGACGTACATCTACATAAATATAGATGAGCATTTACATTTTGAAAGATTTTTTTTTTTTACCCAGAAAGTTGGAAGTATTTCTGGCTACTGACTAGACCATAAAACTTACTTCCTTGAGCTCTTATTTTGACTGACACCAACACTGTGCATCTCAGCTTACTCATCTGTAAAAATGGGTGTAACATTTCACAGTAGCCTGGAATGCTGATCAACTGGATCTTTACCCTGGCCCTATCTGAACACAAAAAGAATGTGGTTTTGGGTTCCGTTAAGTTGGCGGAGTAAAATCCCTGAATTGTCTTACCATGCAGGCTAATTTTCCAGAAAACTTCTTAGCACTCTAATCTTGTCTTTGTTATGAAAAGGTGTGTTTTATACATCAAGATTATCAACCCAGCCTCAAATCTTAGAAGAAAAATGTAAGACCTTTCCCTGCAGTTATTCTCAAAAAAATAACTTTGTAATTTCTCTGTCTTTCATCCTAGATATTTCTACTGTCACCATGGTTTCTAAGCTCATCAGAGAAACTGTGTGAGGTTGTTGCTAGCTTGGAGAAGTGGTTTATCTAGTCCAAGGCAACAAAAAGCTAAATGTTGGCAAAGTTGTACAAATACCTTCTTCAGGATATGGGAATGGAGGGAAGGGAGCTGAACAATGATCAATGTTGTCCTCCCTATGTTAGGACAACTATTGACAATCAACATCAAGTCACAAATGAACGCCTTGATAAGGGGAATCAGTCATTTCCCTGCTTGACAACTGGGTGTTTGTGATCCCTGTCTGAGCTGCAGAGGTAAATTGAAAATACCATTCTTGGCTGTGTGATGTCTCTTGAACTATTTTGGCAACTTTTTTGCTAATTCCTGCTTTGGGGCCCTGAGCACTCTGTCTTTTTATTCGTTGTTCTCTCTCCCAGAATTAAAATAGCTTTCATCTTCCTTTTTGTAATAATTTCTTCATCTAGCATCTGAAGGGAATGCAGCAGTTATTAACGGAGGATATAATCTGATTGTTTTAATGGTGTAACTGCAAGTAATCGACAACAAGAGGTGAGGAAACATACAACAGGGAAAATGACAGAAAAGCAAAGTACAAGCCAAATGGAGATATTTGATGTAGTCCATAGACAAGTTGGCACATCAACTGCCTCATTGATATTCATTCTGTTCAGGGATTTCCGTATCAGATTTACAGATGGTTGATGTTTTTGCTAGTTGCCAGTCCCACAGTTTCAGACTTTGCTCTGAAATTCACAGTGAGCTCTTTCCAAAGAATCTTGTATATACCTTGTAGGCTGAATTGTACGCTTAACTTTTGGATTCTCATCAGAGAATGGCTGTGCTGGATTAGGTGTAAAGCCACGGAAGTGTAATGAAGTCACTTTGGCAACACTGAAGGTGTGTAAGGTTGCACAAAAATGCCTGTGCTAAGAATGTAAAGCACAGAGGTTCTTTAAGTAGTGGTGATACAGGAGATGGGAGAGAAAGCATCCTGACAGTCATAACCTGAGCCAAATTGGAAAAATCATGACTTTATACTTATAAACTGAATGAATTTGATGGGAACCAACATGACTTGGGAAAAATGGCATCTGGCAATGCTTTCTTTGCTGCAACATAAATTTGCTTCACAAATTATACTGCCACTCTGTTAATCATTTTCCCATTGTCGTCCACTTTGGCATTCTCTGAGTACAAGCGGATAAGTTTCTCCACACTGAAGATGTGTGCATAATCTGTCTTGCACAGTTCTGACAGTCAGTTACTGAAGTACTTTCCCTGTCTTGATGCTCTGAGATAGCCTATTTGAAAGAGAAACCTGCATGAATAGGTAGCATAAGAAAGGATTTGCTTTCTGCTCCAGTCCATTTTTGTTTTGTTGAAATTTTCTAAGGATTGTGAAGAATTATCCTCAGCAGTAAGAATCTGCAGGACATGGACAGAGCAAATCTAATTTCTGAAAGGGGCAACTGTATTAATTGTCTCTGGTGCCAAATTATTTCACAAGAAGGCACAAATCTCTTAAGGTCTCCTCCTGCTTTATTTGGTTATGACTGTGCTGCAGAAGGATAATGAGAAGCAATAGGAGCCATTCACATTTAATAGAGCAATTGTTGAGACCACATGTTCAATAACTCCTACCAAGGTGACACCTTAGATGTTGAAGCACTGAACTGTATTACGTGCTTGAGTGATCAAGGCTGGCGATTATGGCTATGCTCATTCGGTTGCTTGAGTGTTTAATGGTAGAATAGTGGAAAACCTTTATCTTATCTGCAGGTTTCCAAGCTGCATGGCACATACCACTGTCATACCTTCCTTCTAGATGGCATCAGATAGCCAAAATGAATTTCCCTAATCATTCAAGAACATTCCTACTTAAGTCAGACAAAGCTAATCCTCTGTCTTTGAAATGTAGTGCTGAAAAACACCTGGTCAGCTAATATGAACTCTCAAACAAAATGAGACCTAACCAATGGAAAAGATAAATTTCTCAGAGTTAATCATGTGTGTCTGCAGGTGTCCAACATGCTGGAACGGTAATCTGTTAGGTCTTCCTGCAAGTCAAAACTACTACTATTGTAAATTAACTTTTGTGGAATTATTATGGATAATGAAGCATACTTTGGAGAATAGTTCACTCCAAAGTTAATAACCTAGTGAAAGCTGCATACAAGAAACACCGATTTCAGGAACAGAAATTCAAAGGTCAAGAACTTGCAGGAAAAAAAAAAAAAGTGACCCACATTCATCATTATGGTTGGTATCTGCATCAAGGGTCATACCAGTTCTCAGACAGCAGTAATTATGGTTATGATCTCAAGATAGCTTTACATCTTGTGCTATCTCTTTACAAATGGCAATCAATATTTGCTTGGAAATAATACTCAGAATGTGTCACTTGGCTGCCTTCCTAGGCATCTTTCTATTAACTAAATTATTTTTTTTATAATGTATAATACTTTCACTCCTATTTAATTTACAGTCTGTCTGAGGAGACAAGAAGTTGCGGTCAAGTCCAGCCCAGGAGGTACTGGCTCGTTGTAAGACACCAAGGAGAAGGTTTGCTTGTAGGTGTATTTGGAATACAACTACACAAGAGCACTAAGCTATGAGAAATGCCCTAAAAATGAGGTGGCCTTATTTTTAATGAAGATTTGATTGTACATTTTGGGTGACTTAGTTTGACATTGTTTTTATCCTGGCAGATGGTAAATGTGTTTCAAAGTGATTTTCCAGAACTTCTGAGAAATCTGAGTGTCAATTTTGTGGTCAAGCCAGCATTATAAGAAGGCTTAATGCCTCCCTTTCACTGGAGCAGTTCAGATCATTTTTCAGGTTGTGAGAGGCTTGCTACGTCCCCCCTTCCTCAGCTTAACACATCTCCCCTACCTCCCATAAAGGTTGGAGGTGACTTTGGCATTGTACGCTCTCAAGCTTTTTGTTAGTGCCACTTCATTTTGCAAGGTATAAATGAACTTTCACTGGATATGGAACTGGAGCCTGCCAGAGGGTCTTAGAGATAATTCCACCATTCAGATGAGTAATCTCATCTTTCAATCATCATCATTTTTCAAGATCATTCAATCTGATCTTTACCACCATGTAAAGCGTCTTTCTCCTGTGGTCTGTTTCAGTCTTCAAGTCTCTTGGAAAAAAGCACCAGCCTCAACCAAAAGAACTGAGAGAAGCACAGTCTGGAGTTCTCTACTGCCTTAGAGCTCAAGTAATGTAAGACTCAAATACCAATTTTCTTTCTGCCTAAATCATGAAGAAATGTAACCTAAGTTTCTGCTACTTTGGAGAGTTCTTGAAAGCCTGATCCATGTGTGAAAGAGGACACCACTTCCACCAGGTCTGTGAACTTGACCAGCTATAACCTTTTCTTCCTTATGGGTGTTTTCAAACCAAGCCAATCTATATTGCAAGGTTACTTTTTTTTTTTTTTTTCCTTTTTCTCCCTGTTCTCAGCAAGAACAAAAATGTGTTTTTATTTGTATTGATCAGAACCACTCTTTTAATACTTTCTGGTTTGTTTGTCTACTCAGATAATTCAATGAGTCATATAGCCCCAGTGCTCTCAATAGACAGATTGATCTCACCTAATAATTACCTGTCTTGTCTCTCCATTCATGGCCCCATAAAAAAGGATCCAACAATACTGTGCAAACACAGACTTGGAGAGAATTAGAGGATAGTATTAATTGTTGATATTCAGAATTAAGAGGGAGTAAGGAGGCAGTTAGGGGGTTCTGCCACCACACACAGCTAGTGTCACCCAGTGCGACATATATCATGGCATGATGCCCACATCCTTCCCAACCAAATCACGGCTGGAGTCAGCTGTGATAGATGAAGACGGTCCTCAGCAGGAGGACTGCCTGCCAGAGCCAGTCAGCATGAGGACTGCAGTGGTAGGACAGCAGGAATCACCTTTCGGGTGACCTTCTGTCACATGTGGTGACATGAACAAAAACCCAAGCCCAGCACGCAGTGGGCACACCTTACAGGTAATTGTGCTGTCAGTCTACTCTTCTGTATTCACAAGCCTTCTGCAGACTGAGCTGCCATGGCTCACATTTAGAGCTTTTATTTAAAACAACTGCTTGGATTTCACATGTGTGGAAGCTTCAAAGAGGGTTTAAAGCAACCAGCCTTTTGAACTTGTGTGTGTTGAATTTCTTGGAGACTTCTCTCGTGAACTGGTTGCTTCATGACATTGAGAGCTACTGAACTGTAAAGGCCTATAAAAGAGACAGACAAGTAATGAAAACCTAAGGTGGCTGTGTTTATCCTCTTAATTCCTCAGTTATCTGAGATGAAAGGTACCAATTAAAGGTGGATGCTGTGTCATAGCTAGGTTTTCTTAAGGAATCACACTACTCAGAGTATTAGCCAACCACCTTCTACAGTTTGGATCATTCAGTCACATCTACAATTAGAAAGCAGCACCCAATAAAATTCAATTAGGCCATCATATTTGCTTTTGTACTGGAGTACAATAGAACCATTGTTATTCTTTCAGCAGTCTTACTTTAGATTTTGAGTCCTGCATTCTGTGTCTGCTCTTTGACTTCTCCTGATAATAATTGTACCTCAATAAACAGATACTGTACCTGTTTAACTATTTTTAAATAAAATCCAAATTGGCATTTTTGCCTACTAGATCTAGACAAACTTGGATAAGAAGCTTGGATGTTAACTAGATCCTGAAGATGAAATGATAACACCCTCATCTTTAAAATCTCAGCTCAGACTACTCACTGTTTGCCTGTCCTGAGGTGAGACGATATGACTTCATTCTGGTGAGAAGAGGTCTGAGAGATCTCCCTCTGATTTCTGTGCCTTTGAAGTTGGACAGAAATGAGTCAAGGTATACACTGCTCAGAAGAATGAGGAAAGGTATATATTATGCAGCAGGAAGAACGTCCAGTGTCTAGATTCCTATCTGCAAAGAGGATTGAAGAAGAAGGCAACCAGCAGCTCGCTTCCCTCATGCCCCTAATTTTGGCAAAGTCTCCTCACCAAAGTGGGAAGTAGCAGGCTGCCTACCTGATCTTGATGCTTTTACTCCACTGCTTCTGTGCAGGAGAGTGAAGAAAGTGACTGCCTGCAGACCAGCTGAATGAAAGGGTTGCCTCTGAAGGGCGACAAGGCTGCCCACGTGCAGCTAGCCTTTGGCAGAGCCTCCTGTTACGTAGCACCCTGTGCATCTTGCGCTGCAGTGAATTCCCTGCTTTCTTCTCTCAGCAGTCTTCTTGTTACCTACTGTTCTGATTAGTCATAGCTTCACCCTGAAGTCTTTTTATAATTCATTCCAACATAATACGCCTAGGAGATTAAACATGGCAGAGTCTCAATGTGTTTGGTAGAATCTGGTGGGTGCCCACATCCTTCTTGTATCGTCATCCTGTACCAATGTTTTCCACAGTGTGGGCCTGAGACTTGGTGTGGAAATCCTGTGTGGGAAACTTGTAGAATGAAACAATCTTCCATGGAATGATGAGTTGTCATTGTTCTTTACAGAAATTGCAAATGTTCACCTGTTTTGGAAATCAGGCTACTTTTCTGGGATCCTGCGCATCCTATAAGCATCTGAAAAATTTGAAAGTTGTGGCATTTAGATGTTATATTCTTTTACTGCCAAGTTAGGAGAGAGAGCTTTAGAAATAGACTAGAGCAAAGAACTCAGCATATCCTTCCTTCTCCACATGTCAATCCAACAACTGTGCAGTACCTTCTAAGGCCCAGCCTGCAGTGAGTTTTTATAAAACAAACACCACCTCAGGTAAGAGTGACACAATACATAAGCAGTGGAAGTGCTGATGGCACATCTGTGCAGAAGCTTTCCATGCAATGCTTTGGTTTCCCAGAAATGATACAAGGAGAGTAAGGAGAAAAAAAGAAAACCTTAAGTAAAAATCAGCACATGATTTGCATGGTTTAGCAAAACGTGGCTCCTGTCACAGGCTGGCTGACTGCAGCTTAAAATAACTTATTTAAGAATCAGAGGCAATTTGTCATTCCTTTAAAAAAAACAACTGCTAGATTATTAGGAATAAAACAAACTGGGTCTAGCCAGGGCTTCAATTCCACCTCTGACTTGTTAAGAGGAGATTTTACTATTCACGCGGTAATGTGACAATTATTTAAATGTTGCAGGAGAAAATACAGTAAACTTTGGCAATTCATAGGAAAGATGCAAACCTATATATTAAAGTAGATAAATACCTGCCATGCTTCTGGTGTCTCCATTAAGCTGAACAGTATAGTCAGGATACCAGCCTCGTGTCTGTCCCCCTGGCAATGATCCCTGCTTTTGGTGTCCCTCAGTCTGGCCCTGTAATGCCATAGGAAGGAAGATGCTGGAGAGAAGAAGGAGCAGAAGGGGAAAGAGCAAAGCAGCACCAGGCACACAGCACAGCCTTCGCTCTGTCAGCATGTCAAGAACAGGCCATTAAGAAGAGGAAATGTCCTCTATCAGAACATAAAGGCCCAATTTCTCTGTACAACAAGCACATCCATGTCATACGGAGTCTCAGATGCAGCTCTGCCTATATGCAAGACTGATCTTATTATTCTGGGATCTCTCATTCATCATCATTACAGTCGGGTTCCTGCAGCTTCTTAGGGAACATACTCATATTTCTGATTAACAAATGCTTCACCTTTCTGATTTAATCTATTATTTTGGCTATCTAGCCTGTCTAATCTCAGGCTTGTCTCTTTATCAGCATTATTTATACAGCACAAAATTAGCTGCAGTGGCTCACATTCCTCTGGCAAAAGGAAGTAGATCTGCCTGGAAAACTGCAAGGTTGCAGCTGGAGCTTGGCTGGTGCAATATATTTACAAGCATCAAAGTTCACCCCTGCCCCTTAGTGCAACGTCACACTTTCTTGACCGGTGAGCTCCGGCCACGCCTGGCCTGTGCAGAACGTGAACTCTCACACCACTAAAGCCTGTAGACATTTTTTTCACTAACATTTTCTGTTTGTACAGTGCCCATGGAATCAATACGCAGTATAAAGTGTTGCATTTTCCCAAGTCATGCACTTTTCATTTGGTCTCAGCAAATCCCATATGGCTGAGGCATTTTTGTAAGAATGCAAGCAATTCGGAGCTCTGTGGAAAATGCTGAGTGCTGCTGGATGCAGGCAGAGGGCAGAAGAGGAAAAATGCATTCCTTTGAACGCACTAATATAGAAGGCAATTAAGGAATACAACAATAATGAGCAATAATTTTCTCTCGTAATGTATGTTGTGCTTTAAAGAGCAGGTGAGGACTCACTGAAAACAATAACAAGTAACATAATGAAGTCCTGTCTACACAGGGATGTTACTTCAGATGTTTTCGATGAGCTGTCTCGAGTGCATTCACAGAGATTGTTTTAAAGTGACTGGGCTTTCATTTTGCATGAATGAACCCCAGGCTCACCAGCTATAAGCTGTGTCGAGCTCACAGGAGGATTCTGTCCACTCTCGCAATGATTTTCCCTCATTGCATAACGTGATGTGGTTTATTTGCTGTCTGGCCCCTGAGTGCCCTCTTCTGTTCCAAGATCATCTGGATTACATCTAGATGAATGCTGGTGGCTTCCTTTGCAGTTCCAGTCCCGCCAGCCAAATTCACACGCTCCCTAGAGCAGCACCTCTTTTCTTCCCCTGATACTGTCTCACGGGTTGTGTGCAGCACACCCAGACCTGCCTTTATGGCGGTGCCTCAAATACTAGGATTTACCAAACTGAATGCAAGAGAGAGGCAATCCTGAGAGGTGGAGCACTGTCACCATAAAGCAAACACTGGCTGCAAGAGCACAAGGGGTGTGAGCAGGACCTCCAGGACTTTTCATTCTAAATCCCCAGAACTGGGTGAGTTGGAAAAGATTTATATGTGTGAGATTGCCACTGAACCCCGGTATTGTAATGTACTCATGTGATTTACAACAGCTGTCAAATGATGTCACTTCATACAGGGAGTTGTAGAGCTAGTATTTGTTTCAAACCACTACACTGAAACACGAAGACTGAGGTTACAAAAATGCCTTTTGAAATCCAGAGAGACGGTCAGCTTGCAAGTGCTGCTGAGGGAGATACTGCCATCACATCCTGTATTCGAGTGGAGCGCTGCATCTCCAAACCAGGTAATGTCTTCATGCCATCACTGGCAGTGGAAATGAGCTGTGTGAACCACGAGCCTCTCTCCACCAGTTTGGCACAGTCTTCCCCAGTGTGGTCGTTGTGGCCTTCCACAAAGGAGAATCCAATCTACGTCGCCACCCCACGCTGCTTGGCTGCGCTTCTGGCCTCGCTGCTGCTCTTCCTGCTGCTCAAACAACACGGCGGCCCAGCATGAGTTAAAGGGAAGGCAGATTGCAGGGCAGACATATTTATTGCAACAGTGGATGCAGAAAGGGAAAAAGCAATAGCAGATTTAATTTGGCTCATACGTTGCTCAGCACACTGAGCTCCTAGCTCCTTTCACGTTTTATGAGACGAATTACCAAAATTAAACATTTCAAAATGCTGAGATTATGAGACACTTATAATCAAATCTTGAGCAATATCAAATCCTTGGATTCGGGCCAGTCGCTCTAAAGTCTGTTCTCTTTTAGCGCACACGATGCTGACCTGTACGTGCTATCAGAGATCTTAAGGCAAAGACTGCATCCCATTTTACTATGCACAGAGCAAAGTGATGCAACCATCTTGCTCATCTGTATGGCGTCTCTCATTTGCTTCTGCAGCTGAGTATTTTTCAGCACTCTTCTATGCAATGCTGCGTACTCCTCTGATTTATCCATCGCCTTTTTCAGTAAGACTTTTTCCTCATCTCTTGGAAATGCACTTCAAGGAAAAATCCCTACCAAGGTGCACATAGTCTGCAAACTTAAATCCTGTTCCTCTTCACCTCTTACAAGTTCATAATCTTCCCTTCTTCCTGTTCCAGAACCAGTACAGGCTTTCTATAGAATAGAGTAAAGGGAGAGGCATCTTTCTTTGTTACATGCAACCAGGTTTCCTGGGAACATCCATTTCCTAGGGAAGCCTGGACTGAAAAAGCATATGGGAATGACATACTGAAATAGAGAAGAAAAAAATGAAAAGAAAAGGGAAAAGGAAAAGAAGAAAAGGGGGAAAAAAGAGGGAAACAAAAAGGGAAAAAAAAAAAAAAGAGGAGAAAAAGAGAAAGAGAAAAAGAAAGAGAAACAAAAAGAGAAAACTATTATCATGGGCACTGTGTTCAGTGTTCATGACAAATATTTGCAATTTGTCTCTGGCAACCAAGGCACCATAATGATGAGGAACATGAGCCTTGCAAGCTGCTCAATGCATAAAAAACGTTTCAAAAGAGAAAAAAGGAATAGGAAAGAGAAGTCCGTGGATCCTGCGAATGGATTTTAGTGCAGAAGCCAGAAGGCACAAGACAAGCTGGAAGGATGCTGGTGGCAACTTGTGTTAGCTTGCATGCAAATATCTAGATTCAGAGGAGTTTGGGACAAGGAAAATGACATACAGGCAAATTTGCTGGAAATTGTGCAGAAGGAAGCAGACCTCTGAAGAATATTAGGATGTTATATGCGTACTAGTACCTCAAGTGCACCTGGAGGTTAACAAGAGTAGTGGTGACTCGCTGTAGGTCCCCATGGATTTCTGTGCCCTTTCCAGAAAGCAGGAGTGATTTCTGCTTTCATTTGCAAAGGTAGGGGCAGTTAGCACTTAAGTTGTGTTGTGCCAGAGTTAAGCTGAGTAAGTAAAGATTACCATGAAAAAATTGGCAGAGGCATCCCGAAGTTCTCATTTTTCCCTAATAACACTGATTCTTAACAAAAGCAGTAACAAAGATACATTTCTTTCATATCTTTGGCTACAACACATTCATTTTTCACCAATATATTCTCTCATTTAAAAAAGAGCAGGACAAAATCCCTCACTCTGCTTCCCTGAGCAGCTTGGACACCTCCTGCTTCTCTCATAGATTTTGAGCAAGACATGGTGAGCATCTGTCACTTGCAGCAAATATTGATCAGAGTGTTTGTGAGGCTCCTCCACCTGCCCTTCAATTTTCCAACAAAGCCCTTCGTTATTATTCTGCTGTTACTCAGAAGAGTCATATAGTTCCTTTATCCAGCACATTTGCCCAGTAAAAGGCGTCATTAGCCAGAGGAGCAGAAAGATGTCTGGGTCTCCCAGACTGACAAAAGGAATGGCAACATCATTAACATCCATAGCAGTCCAGGGAGCAATTCTTACTGTTGGTGCAGTAAATAAGGCTGAATCTCTAAAAATCCTGTCATCAGCTATTGTATATCATTCTGCACTAATACTTGTGAACTTTCCGTAATCAATGAAGCTCTGCAGAAGCTTGGAAAAACATCTTTTTTTTTTTTTTTTTTTTTTCTGTGGATGAAACCTGACTGTCAGTATGAAATACAGGTGCACATGTCCAACTGCTGCTTCCAGCACAACTCAGGAGCATCAGCTTTCCAAATCTTGAAGGATTTTCTCAGTACCAGCACACTGAAACATGTACGCTGTCTGTATTTCCAGCACACACTGACAGACCAGGGTCAATCCAGCTAGCAGGTGGCTGACTGGGTGGCTGGCCAGCCCTGGGGCAATGATGCTTCACATCTCCACACCCAGAGGTGCTGCCCTGTTGGGTTTTTCTTGCCAGCTATTCATCTGGCAGTCTGTGCAGATGCTTTGCAAACTTTACCATCTTGAAGTGCTCATGTTAAGTACTCCTCATCCAAGCCAGGGGAAGTGGAGGGCAAGCCAAAAATGTAAATCCTATGTACGCACATTTGTACTCTAGCTGGTATGCACTGGTTATTTCCAAGAGAACACACTCTGAAAAGTTTTCCTTGTAGATACAGAAACAGTTTCTTAGAAACAATCCTTCTCAGTTACCAGACCCATTCAAAACAAATGAAAAATAAACCTTTCCAAAGGTGATTGAGGTGTCCAAATGTGGCCATGTAAGTAAGAACAACCTATTGAAATAACTACAGTTACTTAAAAGCAAGAAAATAATTAATTGAAGGACATCTTAAATCTAACAATGGCCACCTTAAAACTAGCAGTGGCCACATGATGGCCTAGTGAATTATTCTGACAGCAGATGTGTGCTGAAATTTGTGTTCATATGTGGCTCAGTAAAGGAGTTAGGAACAGCGTCTTAGCAAGGGGAAGAGTCCTCAGCAGTGGATTAGAAAAAAACACCGAATCCACTTAATATTAACAGCCTTAACTCTGATCCATGAATCGCAGCTCTTAGATATATTAGTTTCATTTTTCTTTTAGAGTCAAAGTACTTACCTTCATTCAACAGGAAGCATCGCCAGGTGTGTCACCAACTACATTCCTTATGTAAGTTACTTACATAATAGGTACTTTTGGAGCCTAATCATTTATATAGAGCTTGATATGAAAATGTGCAAAACACACATTTTTTGAGAAAGTCTATTATTTTTATATATATTCATTGGAACTTGATTATTATGTAGCTATATCTATGATGTATATGTTACAGTTGAAGATGCAAACACGGAATTTCTCATATCTACAGCTCTTTCAATTTCATCGTATGCTTTGTTTCCAAAACAGCATTGCATTTGTGTTACACATGTCAAGACTGCCAATGAAAACTATTTATTTTTATGCAGGCTTGGAGCTTGCCTATAGCTAGAAGTGGTAAAGTTAATTCATTGAGCTTGATGTTTCGGATATACTTACATCGATATAAAACTTTATATGCAGGAGGTAACGTTGGCTTGATTTGGGCAGGAGAATAAGCCAAGACGACACGAGGCACTGTGTCGCTAGCAGAACAGGCGTGTGGTGAGAGGCTGTGTGAGTACGTAACGCTTTAAGATATAAATGTAAAGATGAAAAACTTCACGTTACTACATTAATCAGTTGCACTGATCAGTTAAGAGCACATTCTGCGATGACCACTGCAATGACCACCTCTCACCTAGCGACTGCTGAAGTAAAAGCCTGGGGTGGGTACTGCCGTGGCAGAGGTCCCAATAGCTCATGTGTGGGAGATAAGTCGTGGCTGAACAGCCAGGGAGAAGCTGCGTGAGCTGGGCAGGAGCTGCAATCAGAGAGGCAATACAACGGCTCTTGGCTGGTAGCTGAGGTGCTGAGGGTCCTTCACGGACCCTCACGGAGCTATGGGGGCTGCAGGCACAAGGAGGGGAATTTGCGGGGGGATTTGAGGTGTGACGGGCCCGCGGCCTGGGGGCTTTTGTGCCCTCGGTGCAAAGAAGAGGCAGCAGCAACGCGGCTCTGCCGGAGTTTCTGTCAATACAGAGACCAACGAGGCGAGTCTCCGGCGGGGCAGGGATCCTTTCCTGCGGGCTTTGCAGGA